CTTCCAAGATAAGAAATACACCCGAGAGCTTCTCCAGTGTTGGTAGAATTATTTGAATCCTGCAAACAGATTTCTGCAAATCCTGCAAAGCTCCTTATATACTCTCTTGGGAGGACCCTAATTAGTACCACCTGGGTCCAATTATCTTCTGTATCTGCGTAGTTGCTCTCGGCACTTATCTGCCCGCCTTTGCCTGGCGTCCAGGACCAACTCCCTTAGCTCCTCCCCACTGCTCCAGGGCCTGATGTCAGGATCACACTCCCTTGTCTCCTCCCCACTGCTCCAGGGCCTGATCTCAGGGTCCAACTCCCTTTGGCTTTCACTGCGGCTCCATGTCTCCAGCGCCTCCTGGTGGCCAACCAGCCTCTCTGGTCCCTGCTCGGAGTCTGAACCCTGTCCAGGGTCCTCCACATCGTCCAGAGCCGACTCATAGGGCCCCTCGCTGTCAGAGTCTGTTTGCAGCTCCAATGGCTCCTGCTGGGCCACAACAGCTGCCCAACTCACCACATGAATCAGGACAATGGCCATCATCAATAGCAATAATAGTCAACAAAAATAATATTATAGCAGAAACTGTAGTCGTATGTCTATAGTTTCAATTGGCAAAGATAACACTGTGCTGGCTTTGATACTGTGGCCATCACTGACTATCTGGGATATATTGGGAATCTTCCAAATCCTAGAATTCCTCATTTGGCCCTGTGGTCCATACCTGGACACACCATTTGGCTTCGTGAAGACCGTAGAGAGTTACTATGTCCAGGATTTTAAAAGTATCTTTCAACTAGTGAATCAAATCAAACGGGAATGCCTTAAGGCCATGTGGAAGCGCTTTCTCTCTATGCATTTTTAATAAATGTGCTGATATAGATAACGGCCAAGCTTTTAGTTACAGCCCTGCTCTTACTTTCTGCCGGCAGACTGGAACAGAAGGGATTTGCAAGAACCTTGCTCGTTTTCTTCTTATATGACTTTCTTCTCCGTTGGATAAATTCATGAAACAACCTCGATGGTCCCTTTTAGAATAGAATGGAATAGAATAGAATAAATTCTTCATTGGCCACGTGTGATCGGACACCCAAGGAATTTGTCGTTGGTGCATATGCTCTCAGTGTACATAAGAGAAAAGATACATTAGTCAAGAATCATAAGGTACAACACTTAATCATAGTCATAGGGTACAAATAAGCAACAAAATCATATTAGGAAACAATCAATATAAATCGTAAGGATATAAGTATCAAAGTTACAGTCATAAGTGGGAGGAGATGGGTGATAGGAACGATGAAAGATTAATAGTAGTGCAGACTTAGTAAATAGTCTTTGTTCTATCCACTCCTAATTTTTCTAAAAAAAGGCTTGATTTTTTTTCTTGCAAGCTCTGCGGGCTTTCCCCATGTTTGTGTCTTTGTTTCTGAAAAAATAAATGAGACCTTCCTTCTTTATTTCTTTAGACAGATGAAAGGAAAACCACAGAGAGGAAGTGGTCTGGTGAAGACAACCATCCAAAGACTACGCACCTCAGAAAGGTGAGGGTTGAACCCCACATTCAGTTTTATTTACTCTCACACACATATGTATTATAAACAGGATCTATTTGAAAGTACCTTATTTTGGGTTCTTTCCCAGCTACAAAAACCATGAATTTAACCAGAATGTTTCTGTTTTGATGTACTGGTAGAAGGTGAATTGAAGGTCACCATGTTTCTTTTCTACACATGAACACCTGAATGTGAAAGTGTTCACTTGTTTTCCAGTTTGCCCATTTTATTTTATTTCTGTTATTGTGCCGCTGCATTTTTCACTTTATAAATCATGTCTAATTGTGGCCAGTAACAGATCAGACAGTGAATAGATAAACCAGTATTTCTCAACCTGACTTCAGTTTCCAGAATTCCCTGGTCAACATATTGCCTATTGTCTGGGGAATTCTGGAGGTTGAGGTCCAAGCAACTGAAAGTTACCAAGAAACACTGAGATAGTCCATCCATTAGTTTACATCCAGTTAGATTTGATTATGATATATTGTTTTTGATGGGCAAATGCCAATTTACAGAATTCTAGAAAAATCTTCATCATCATCATCAACTTTGCTCACACATGGGATATTGTATC